TCGACTGCTTGGAGTTAAAAAAAATATTTTCCAGTGATTAAATATCGATTTTGGTGGGTTTGATGGGGAAAGTATAGCACCAGATTCATAGGTAGTTTTGCGGAAAAAAAAAACTTTCAGTTCTTTCAACTATCTTGAAAATGTAAGCAATTGACGAGCTTGCTGCAAGAACAAGGCAGCTCCATTTTCAACGCGTGACGAGGTTAGCTGTTTATAATTTCGATAAAAAATTTAGGCGTTATTTAACGCAAATTCCACACATCTCAGTGCATGGAGTATACATCCTGACATATGCTGAGCTGCGTCGAATTTGCGTTACATAACGTCTAATATTTTTATCGAAATTATAAGCAGCTAACCTCGTCACGCGTTGAAAATAGAGCTGCCTTGTTCTTGCAGCAAGGTCCTCAATTCTTAAATTCGAGTTATTATTAATTCAGCGCCAAGAGTTACGTGAGGAATGACCTCTAGCATCTGTGTTACTGACTCTTGTATTTCTGTGTGATATGTTTTAATTGGGAGATCCTGGTGTAGACGCTTGATTTCTACAAAATTATGTGGGTTCCATCCTCCATTGTGAAAATGCCAGAATTTAAAATTCTACCAGTCGAGCTAGTACTATATTCCTGGCGAACAACAGCATTTATAAAATCCTTTATGTAATAAAATAAGGTCACACGCTATACATTGTACCTCTTTCAAAATATATATAAAATTTTCGTCTAACGCTCGCTAAATCGCAGAAATTGTCGCTCAAGTGTTTGAAATAAAACAGTTTATCTCCTCTTTCTCGTCTGAATTGCATCGCGTAGAACACCACTTTAAATTCTCGAAGAACTTCGGAGTCATACAGTTTGACTAGTTTAACTTCTCGCCTTGTCTTTGTTTTATTCAGCATTTGTTAAAACGGAGATGATATATATATTTAGACTTTTACTTTTAGTTTTAGTTTTATAGCAACTGAGTTCCATTTTGTTTACGGTCTTTTTTTGAATACTTAGAAAAACCTGCAATTAAACGTACATAATACAAAAAAATGTCTCAATTATGTCGTTAAGTTGCATAAAAGAAAACTTAAAATGCCACAGATTTTCAAGAAATGAATACATATTTTAATCCTTTAAACATGTATCACGTTTTGAGGCAAAGTGGTACCATTATAATGAACAAAAATTGTGACATTTTAAGTAATTCGTATAGTAAAATAATCAAATCACAAATAATTCTTGAATTTTGTCTAACTCGCTTTCTCGACATAACTGTGACTGATGTCACAGATGTGACTGATATATTTCTCATTTTTTGTGTAAACGTATAAATATTTTAAACAATCTCAGACATACTGTGACAGATTTTAAATATGTACATATGTAGTTATTTTAAAGTATAAATATTCTCTGTGAAGGTTAGTGTTATGCTACATTTAAATATAAATTAACGTTCTGTGTGGTACATGAGGACCTACGAGTGATGAAAAGTGGTCTTTATACATGTGGAAGAAAATGATTTGTTTTTATACTTTGTGTGCAGAGACGTGAAATATTATAGATACATGTTAAAAAAGTGTATAGAAATTCTTACTCCAGTTATTTCCAACAGGTAACATTATCAACAATTTAGTATCAGTACCAGACAATCAGACATCAAGATATTAAACAGGCACATTTATGCATATTTTACTGTATCAGATGTACGTTAAAGATACATATTATCGAACTTGTATGTCCTAAATTGTTATCATGATCTATTGCAATTCAGTGTTATTCATGAACTGACCAAGGTCTGTAAGCAAGTTTACCAATTATTGCGTTATTGAAGATTAAATCAGGCTATAAATAATATTTCCAAAATTAAGATTCAATAGTCATTTTCCAAAATTTAGTGTACCTACATTAGAGTTATATCAGATTGAAGTAGGTAATTAATTATCTGTTTTATTTCTATCTATTTATGGACTTTCAATTTACTGGGTAAAATAAGGTAGCATGAGTATCGTTGGGAAATAAATAAAGAAATAATGTTAAGTTACTATTATTTATTTAGATAGATTCTGGAGAACAGAAATTCCTTTACAAATTGATAAGTTGTTTACTTTAAACCGATCAAGATTTCAATCAAGATAATCGACCCATCGAATGGAATGGAGTTCTAGGTATGACATTATTTGCCATACAGTAAATTAGATTAGATTAAAATAAATGTTGGAAGCTGGAAATAGTCCTATTAGTCACCGCGACCTCTTGAGGTCTATTGTAGCTCTCCCACTGGCTTTAGGGCACATTATCTTGGTGGTTATTATCACACTCCACAGACATGGCACGGCCTTTTTCGTAGAGCTATTAGATTTTGGCTTTTCGTGCCCTAGAATTTGAAACTTTCGTCTCGTTAGTCTTTCACAATAGTGTGTGGATTGAGGTTTCCTCTTCTTCCAGACAGAAGCTGTATGTTGTTTCCTCTGCCAGAATTGTTTCGTATCTTCATCCTGGAAAGTTTCGCCAGTGATTTTTGTACACAGTAAGGTTTTTGTGACGACACAGTAAGGTTTTGGCCCTATTAGAGCATCTGAAACATCTTATTTTGCTAGTCTATCAGTGTTTTCGTTTTCTTTAGGTTCTTTATGTATCAAAAAAGTATAAAGCCAAAATCATTCTGTTTTTTCCTATTGTTCATATTCCTACGTGTTTGTAACCTGCATAATTGCTGTAAGCGTCGCCTGGCTATCAGAAAAACGGTAAATTACTACCAGTTTCTTGTCTTATCATTTCCATAGCGCACTATTGGATTGCGGCCACTGCAGCCTGAACACTGTTGCATATTTTCCTAGACTTAAGGAAATATTTGTGTTAGGTCTTGTCCCTTAAATCCTGGCTTCTATTGTCAGTTCTGTTTTGTATTTGTTTTGTACTGTCTGTATACCAGATTCCCTTAGTGTTTGAATTCTGCTGTTCCAGTCTATTCCGTTTGGTATATCCACTCGAAAGTGTCTGAACGTTCGATACCATACTGTCTTTGGGCATCTAGATTCAATTCGGTGTACACTTTCTGATGCTCTATTCGATCGATCTATCTGATCGAGCTTCTCCTTGTATTGGTACCTGTGACGAACATGCGTGCAAGTATTTGTACGCCACTCTATGACATGTCGTCCAGTAACTATTTTGATTATCCAGAATTCTTTGATTATGAGAATTATGAATAAAACGATCGTTATATTGGATGTGGATACTGCTGTAACAGTATCCAAAATGATGTAAATTTTTTATGAATCTAAATACTGTAAATAGAACGTGTATACCTGTAGATAGAACTGCTTAAAAGAACTAATTTCAATAGACCTAATACCTAGGTAAGATGGTGCCAGAGGTAACATTACTTTTCAGTTAACTACGTCGCGTTGATTAAGTTTAACTTACAGAAGAAAATACACTTGCGTGCATAGAAATCGGCCCACTGTAAACTTTTGACTTTAACTGTATTTTTTCTTAGAAACTATTCATCAGATCAAAATAACAAATATACTGGCTGAAAGACAATTTAATTTGCTTTAATATGAGGTCAAATTTCTTAAAATTTATTTCGGTATCTTAGGTTTAACACAGTGAAATTATTGCATGAAGCAAATTAACGTTTTTTTATTACTAAAATAAATTGGGTTCTTGACAACTAACAACTTAACACTTAATTTTTAATAATGGGTATGACCCCCTCTTGCTCTAATAACATCTCTCATACGATTAAGCATAGATCTAATCAAGTTCGCTATTGTTTCTTGTGGGATGTTATGCCACTCTTTTTCTACTGCAACAATAAGCTCTGGGGTCGAGGTTGGGGGACGAAGTCTAGCTCGAATTCTTCGTTTTAACTCATCCCATAAATGTTCAACCCATTCAGGTTCGGACCCATTCATCCCATTTAGGTTCGGACTGCATGCTAGCCACTCCATAACCCAAAAACTGACTTCTGTAATGTGATCTTGCACGACTCTTGCGGTGTGCGGCCTTGCATTGTCGTGCATAAAAATAAATTCGTCTCCAATGTAGTCGACGTAAGGTACCACATGAAGTGCTAAAATCTCCTCGATGTCCCTAGCACCCGTTAAACCTCCTCTCCCGTGACCACGGTCACCCCTGCGGATGAAAACAGGGTCGGTTCGTGCTCCAATTGAAATTGCACCCCAGATCATACAGGACCCACCTCCATAAGCACTCCGTTCTTTAATACAGCATTCTGCAAATCGCTCTCTTGGTCTCCGGTACACTTTTCTTCTTCGGTCGCTACCATAGAGGCATATTCTAATATCATCTGAGAACAGAACAGACCCCCATTGTTCCATTGTCCAATTCAGGTGATCCCGTGCAAAACGGAGGCGTGCTTGACGATGAGCTGGGGTAAGTTTTGGACCAATCGCAGGTGTTTTAGGCGTCAGGTTACTTTCTTGCAGTCTTCGTCTTAATGTCCACTGACTAATAACCACTCTTCGTACTTCCCGGAGCTGTTGTTGCACTTGAACCGCATTAAGGTGACGGTTTCTTAATGTTGTTGACACAATAAAGCGGTCATCACGAGCCCTTGTAGATCGCTTTCTGCCTATTCCAGGTCGCCTATGAAAGGATCCAGTCTCTTCATAATGTTGGTACACTCTTCGAACAGCTGCACGTGTCATATCCAGTTGTAGACCAACAGCTCGCTGGCAAAGTCCAATTTCGACTAAAGCAATAACTTGGGCGACTTTTTGCGGTGTAGTACGCATTAAACTACTCACTTGAAAGCTAATCAAATTATGAAAAACGAAGAATATACAAATTTTAATTGCAAAAGCAATAATGTCAATCTTTCACAAGTTTGTTATTCTTGTTATAACCGTCACATAATAATAATAATAATAAATCACACCACAGAAATGGACATTCTCCCTCTAAGAGTCATTGCGACTGTGCAGAGGGAGAATACACATGGAAAAGACGTAGGACACACAACCAAACCCTGTGACAGGTGCCAATTGTCACAGGCGGGATTCGAACCCGCGCAGATAATAGCTCTCGGAGTAATCGCCACCTTCTCACATGGCGCTTTACCCACTGAGCTATCGCCGCGGTTAAAACATTGCATTTGTTTACCGGATACTACGCATACAAACGATAAGCACTCTTGACAAATTTAACCTCATATTAAAGCATATTAAAATGTCTTTTAAGCAATATATTTGTTCTTTCGATCTGATGAATAGTTTCTAAGAAAAATACAGTTAAGTTCAAAAGTTTACAGTGGGCCGATTTCTATGCACGGAAGTTTAGTTAAAAAGGAGAGTAACCAGGATTCCTCACTCTACTCCAGCGTGTTACTGTATTAGTCCTTACCCCGAAGTTCGTAAATGTTACATCTACATAAGTGCTGTTCCGCATCTCCCCGCTGAATAACTTTATGTTTTGTACCGTGAGGCGTTACAAACTCTTCACAGTAAATCAACTGCGGAACGTAAAAATATTTTCTTATAATGGAAAGCTGTTTAGCATTCAGGCACTGCAATATAGAATCCAATATTCTTAATAATGACTATAAATCTTGGTGTCCGTAAGAGAGGGTGTATTTTATTTTAAAACCTAAATCCAATTTTCGAGTTCACGATAAAAGTTTTGCTTTTAGGGAAGACAATTTTACTAGAGGGCGATATATTTGGGACGAAACAAAATGTTCTCTGAATGTCAGAAATGAAGCTTTGGATCTGTTCCGAGGCAAATTGCACGAAACAAATACCTACTAGTGTATTTCTAGAATCGTTGAATAAAACTTTTCATTCAACGATATTTACAATACTTTAATGTTCTCTTTCAAAATAATAATAACTTATAAACTAGTTTTGATTCACCAGTATGAGTCACATGATTATCATAATTTTTTTTACACGTATTTTGAAATTCTGATTGCTGTTACCGATTTATCGTATTCCGTTGATACCACGTTCACACAGTTATTATTGAAAACATTACTGGTTTTAATATTGAATATTAGGTAAATAATTATTTAAAACTTTTATGTTTGTATAGTTCAAACATAAAAGTTTACAGGGTGATTCAGCTAACTTGTTATTAAAAGTTTATGAACTTCCCATTGAAATTTAATTTTGAAAATTTGGAATCAGGGGTTAGCGGGGACGGTATATTCAACTAAAGTACTTGTTTTAATATGTTATATGGTATGTTTGTAAAGTAAGTGTTTTTGTGACACTTCCGGTTATACCGGAAGTAGCTATCAACTTCCTTATTTTAAATGGAACACCCAGTATGTTAATATATTTTTGAATTCCCCTCCTAATTTTAGCTTGACTTTTTTTAACAATTCCCTATACCGATCTTCAGCAGTTTTTGAGATATTTTAATTTAAAAAAAAATGGTTTTTGTAGTATCCTATTGAAATGCTCGTCACCGATTCAAAACAAAAGTTATAGTAGCAAACTTTGGGCTGCCCTTGGGTGGACTATTACGGTTTCAGGTGGTATGTGATTTGATGTTTTTTTTTTATTTACAGGGTGTCTAAAAAATCAAGTTCATTCTGAAAAATTTCAACTGCTCAAAAGTTAGTTTTCTTAAATGGAACACCCTATATTTTATTACTCTATGTGATGGAGAATTGAGTGATCTTTCATTCTGTATTAGGATTCCCTATACCTATCTGCTACCGTTTTCTTGCTATCGAGGTATTTTTCTTCGATACCATAGTTTTACATTTTATTAAATTACTTCTGACTAGCGGGCCATGCAGCTCACCAGCGATCTTCAAACATATTGGTTAATTCATGGTAAACTTCACGGGTTGAGTGGGCTGGAGCGCCATCCATTTTTTACCAACACGTATTTAGAAGATTTAGTGGCAAATTTTCCAAAAAATTTGAAACCACCGTTCTAAGAATTTATAGGTATTTACGAGGATTTAAATTTTCATCATACACTTCAAAACACATGCGATTACCCATAATCAAACAAAAAATATTAAAACTAAATGTATTTTGAAAGTTACCTTCACGCACTATTCGTGGATTTTGTTCTGTCCAAATATGCCAATTCCTCCTTTTTATTATCCCTTCTCTGTTAATTTTTAACTCGTCGGTCCAAATAATTTTCTTCAAAAAATGTAGGTCTTATTGCATTTTTACTAAAATGCTTTCGCAAAATAGCACGCGCCGTACCTCGTCACCTGAGTGGAGAGCTTGCAGTTTTAAAATGGAAAAAGCATGCATTTTATATTTTGCCAGAATTCTCTGTATTGACGAGTAAGATAGTCCCAAATCTTCTGACGCACCTCTAATCGACGTATGTGGATTCGCATTGAAATATGCCAAGACATTTACTTGGTTACCTTCAACACCAGTAACATATTTGGGATGTGTTCTAGTAACTTGAGTGCCAAATCCTTTAAAATTTGCTTCTATTCTCTTGAAGGCAGTTTTGTTTAAAGACCGTAAATGTGGATATCTCTCGTTAAACAGACGATAAGTCCTTTCAATAACTTTTTTACATTCTCCATGAATGAAAAATAAATTTAATATATCTTCATTCAAATATTTTTGTCGGTTTTCCATAATACACGTTATTATTTATAATAACATGTAAGATTTCTCACTTTGACGTCTACTCTGATGTTTACATTGACAATTAAAACAAATCGTTTTATTTTCATGGCCCGCTAGTCAGAAGTAATTTATAAAAATGGAAAACTATGGTATCGAAGAAAAAATACCTCGATAGCAAGAAAACGGTAGCAGATAGGTATAGGGAATCCTAATACAGAATGAAAGATCACTCAATTCTCCATCACATGTCATCCATTGTCAGAATGAACTTGATTTTTTTAGACACCCTGTAAACAAAAAAACATCAAATTACATACCACCTGAAACCTTAATAGTCCACCCAAGGGAAGCCCAAAGTTTGCTACTATCACTTTTGTTTTGAATTGGTGACGAGCATTTTAATAGGATACTACAAAACCTAATTTTTTCAAAAAAAATTAAAATATCTCAAAAACTGCTGAAGATAGGTATAGGGATATGTTAATAAAGTCAACCTAAAATTAGGAGAGGAATTCAAAAATGTATTAATATACAGGGTGTTCCATTTAAAATAAGGAAGTTGATAGCTACTTCCGGTATAACTGGAAGTGTCAGAAAAGCACAAGTACTTTAATTGAATAGACCGTCACCGCTAACACCTGATTCAAAATTTTCAAAAATAAATTTCAATGGGAAGTTCACAAACTTTTAATGAACGGGTTAGCTGAATCACCCTGTATATATATATATATATATATATATATATATATATATATTAAATTATTATATTATTGAAATATATATTACTAAATATACACTCTTTAAATTTAAATAACACGCTTTAAAAATAAGAATTAAAACAAAACATTATTGATTTTAATTTTTGTGTTGAATTTTATATTATTTTCAATTCAGGTTCAATTTAATATCGCTTAGCATGTTGGTGCTTTGCAAACAATGGAAAGTTAATTTCCTCCCTTCTAATTTGTACTACTGAAAATAATTCAAAGAATATTAAAAAGTACATGACACAGAGGGTGAACAAGCAAACAATGTAATAAATCGGAAATATATTTGCTAGTAACAATCTTGATTACTGAATAAATCCGCAAGATCTGAATATCGGAGTTTATTATCATATTTCCAGACGCGTTTGTCAAAATTTTGATATATTGTTTTTTTAATGGAGACTCCGTTTTTTCCACTTTTCCTAGTTTTCGATCTCTGAAGGAAGATAATCAAAAATAAATATACCGATTGGCTCAGTGTTCACTACAAACTTACTTTTGCAGTACTGAATGAATACTAAATGAATTTTCATCAAAAGTGATCTAAACCTTGCGTGAATCAGTTACTAAACACTTATTGTTTATTTTTTTTTTCATTGTTTTAACTTTACATACACCCTGTTGACCACACATCTTAAGTCCTATTATGGACAATTTAAGGATATCAAAATTTTCCATTATTTTCCGATTTTAATTATTTTTGCTATTAAAGAATAAAAATCGGTGTAGTGAATGACTGTTTTGTTGCAAGTTTGTTGTTGGAGTATTAAGGCATAAAAAAATTACCAAAATTAATTAAAAGTGCAACAATTTTTTTACAGGGTGGACAATATTAATAAACTACATCGTTTAAAAACAACGTGTTGTAAATAATAATGATAACCAACAATATTTCTGGGTTATGGGTTATTTAATCAATACCTCAATCAATAAATTCATAAGCTTGAATATCTAGCTTTCTTCTTATTACATCGTCATCTGTACATTTGTAAAGAAAACATCAAGTATATCACATAAACAACTCCAGTACTGGTTTCATTTCTAAACCATCTAATAATTCTCATTTAGCAAATGTTTCAGTAACAGCTGACGAATTTTGAATAGTCAGGAACAAATAATCTACTTTTACATGTCCTTAGAAACTCAGTAACTGCACTGTTTAACCTTTACAGTGAGAGTAAAAAGTAAGGAGAGGTGCTTATACTTCTCGAAATATTTGCTATTTATTATAGAAACATTTGTTAAAATGTTTTAACTAAAGTTTTCGAGAGTATTTTTTTTGCTATAAACTGGTGACTTTTCTTAGCGTAAACAAGTTTGTTGCTATGGCAACCGAGGTTAGTTTTTTAAATGGCGTGGTATGATTTTCGTCGTATTTTTTGGAAATAGTATATCTTCTTGGGTACACAACTGTAAAATTTTAATAGGGTTTCATAAGAAAAACGTTCATAAAAAATAACTTTCCCAAAAAATCATACCTCTCGGTTGTAACGAAATTTTCATTAATTTCGTTACATCCTCTCACACCAGGTATGTATCAAGCCTTAAAAGAGAAAAAGGTAAGCCGCTATTTGAATCCGTTATCTCACTTACATTAGGTAGTGCTTCTAGGCTTAAATATCTATCTATGATTACCTTCTACACTTACTTTGCATTCTCTGCTTTGCGCAATCGCGATGAATTTATAATATCGTTTTCGCAGAGGGGATAAGGAGTTTCGGTCGAGGTCTCGAGCCATACAGGTAAGCTTTTTGATTCA